CTCCACACAAGTCTCAGCAGCAGCGGTTGCGCATCATCACCAGCCGCCTCCTCCATCTCAACAGCCTCTTCATATCTCGCTCTCCCCCTCTCGGCTTTCACCATGGCCCTCAGCTCCTCAACGGTGAAAATATCCGGGATAGGACTCCACGCAAAGCAGATAGCTGCGCTCATAATAAAAAAGGCAAGTACGATTACCGCGGTTGCATAAGCCCAGAGCATTGAAAATACATCGAGGAATAGCAGGGCGTAAATGAGTGCCGCTCTCTTGGGACTCAAGGGGTCGAGTCCATTCTCGTGTGTGTGTGCGTGTACGTCAAGCAACCACAGACCTCCATTGATATTCGCGCGATGTCGTCCCGGCATGCTGGTCCAGCTCCAGAGCATCAAGCCCAAACACAAGAAAACCGCCATCTTAGCGCCGAGGATGAACCGCCGGCGCGTGGGACCAGCGCGCGCTTGCCTCTGGTGCAGCAGCATGCCGTAGTACAAGACAGAGAGGTGCGCCTTCGAATCTGGCCGAGCCCCAACAGCGTCCGTCACGTACGTGATCGTGGCCCCAAGGCACAAGTACCACATGATGGGGGTATTGTGGGCTGCGATAGCCATGAACTTCAAATAAGTAACTTTCCTTTCTCCGGTCGTTCGGTGAAGTTCTTTTATAGCTATGTCTACAATAAGTATATTCGTATCACCGAGAAGTTGAGTTGAGTTTGGTGGTATTTGCTCTGCTATGAGGTAAATATAGCGGTATTGGAACATGTAAAGCAATGCGCACAACGCCAGCAGGAGCTCGACTTCCGTGCTGAAGAGTATGGCGACGACAGCGCCGAGTCGCGTCTTTGAGTTTCGCCATGCGCAAAACAGGCCGGGGTTTCCGGTTCCAGGCTGATTTATTGCTACTCGTCTCGATGTCGGTGAGACGCTTCCGCCGACGACAGCAGCTTTCCTTTTGGATAGCATATTAGGGGCTATTGTGGACGTAGATACGGGATTCATGGTGGCACCAGACGCAATGACATCTCAAAAAGACAACCGCTCCCGTTATATATGCCTAGTAAGAGGAGCACACAAGGCATTATCACCAAGTCTTTCTCGTTCATGTGTTGGTAGGACTTAGACTTGCCCGGCGCATTACATTCCCCCAAATAGCAACTGTTTGGGGCTGAGCAATGCGGGGGGATGGCGTCGACCAACGTAGATAGCCCATCTTGTCTGATCCTCTTCGATAGCCCTGTTCATAGGCGTTTTTTCAAACAGGTAGAGTATTGCAGTGCTTGGGATTGGTGTTATGAAGGAAATGGAGAAAAAGGACCCAGCATCCACCGTGAGAGGTCATTATCTACAATATTGTACATACCGTCTATCCTACCTACTTACAGTATCGAAATTCGAAAAACTAAATATTTAAGGCTACAGACAAGACCAATCATACATCTAGATCGCTCTTTGGGATACTGATACTGCCAATCAACGTTGTGTGAGATCATGTTATTCCGACACCCTAGTAGAACTTGAAACACGTATTAAGGAAGATAGGCTTTGTCCCCCAAGTTTAGAGATTGTCGTCCTTCGTCTACTCCTAGTTGACTAAAAACAGCTTAATGTCACATCAAAAACCAAATGAATTTGAATATATCCTTCACCATTCCTACACACTACAACGCCTCAGCAATAAGTGTTCCTCAAGAACCACCAAGTTTAGCAACAAGCCGGTAGAAGCATCATGTCAATATCAACGTGGGTATAAAAATCTAGGAGGCGGTCTCGCGGCGCTGGCGGTAGTTTGCCTATAGTCAAGGCGCGATTAGCAAGGTGGTCGTATCATGGGCATCTGTTAGAGGCTACGTACCTCCTGTTGAACCTGGAGACCCTCAATGACGGGAGCCAGCTCGTTCAGGATCTCGTAAGCTTTCTTATGATACTCAACCTGAGCAGCGATAAGCTCTGCCAGATTGCGAAGGGGTTCAGGGGTGTCCAGAACCTAGCAGAGACAATTAGCCGCATACCACATAAACGATAGCCTTGTAGAGATAACGTACGTTCTTCATAACACCCACGGCTTCTTCGGTCTGGGTGACGAATTCGTCCTCAGCCTTCTCAACCTCCTCTTGTGCCTCGGCGCTGAGTTCCTCGGAGTTCGGGTGATCCTCACGAGGCGCCATGCCTCCCATCTTCCAGGTGGTGCCCTTGACTCGGGACTTGACAGAGTCCAAAGTCAAACGAGCTTTCTCAACATTTCTGCGCGCACGCGTAGCGAACATCAAGTTGGTGTTCAAAGTGGTATTCCAGCCAGCCAAGAACCTGCTTTGGATCTGTGCGTCTTGGGCAAGACGAGCCTCGCCAACGCGTTCCTCAGCCAGCGCATACTTCTCGAGGGCGGTAGCTAGGGGATCCTCCCCAACACCAGTATGCTGTTGGTGGAGCAACTGGGAGCTGGCCAAACTGGCACGGGCAATAGCATGGTTGAAAGTCTTCGGCTGGGGCTTTGCGGATGGAGGTGCGGTCAAAGCTGCCTGCGCTTCGGCAGGCGTGGACGCCGAGGAAAGGAGCTGGACCTTCTCGCTAACGGTACGGCCAAGATCCTGAAAGGTCTCCTTAATGTTGGGTGGGTAGTCGTAAGCTTCATTAGAGTATTGGGAGCTATAACATGACACAACCAACGCGTTAGTAGTCATAATTATAAAAGGAGACAATATCTTACGTTGACACTTACGTCACGGCAAGGAGCTTCTGATGAACCTGCTTCAGGGCGTCCACGCGCTTCTCGAGGTCAATGTAGTCAGGAGGTAGCTGGGTCTGCGGGAAAGAGACTGATTAGCTACGGGTACACCATTTGGACACAGTAAACTAACCTTGTCTTCAGCCTGACCGAGCTGTTCTTTGGTATACTGGAAGGTTCGAGATAGGGATGGGGTGATCTGAGACCCGATGTTGCTGGGTGAGAATGATGTATCAGCACGAAGCTCTGATCTTGATGCTATGACGACTGAGGTAGCTCATCTTTCACCAACTCACCTGAGGCTATTGCCGAAAGCCTTGAAGTTGTCCATCTTGCGCAGAATGTGTAGTATCCGATCGAGGGCGCAAATTTATGGGAACGCGCAATGTGCTGTCGAAAGATCGCAATGTAAGACAACTGTAGGAAGTTGGAATGGTTAAAGCTTGCTACAACTTTAGGTGGTTCAGAAAGAGAATCCCTCCAAGCAACCCACCTAACACCCTTGACAAAGCTCTGAGCAGGCTGTCGGATGCTAGGCCACAGGCTGTGCAGGCTCAGGCTACAGCGTCTCACAGTGCGCCAAGCGTTGGCTATCAAACACTTGACACGTGATAGACCTGCTAATGAAGGGGAGATATGTACATAACGAATCTCCTACATCTCCACATGCAAACTCACATCACTCGATACAATCAATTCACAAGCTGAACTTTCCTAAGGGTACATATGTATTTAAATGCCAAAATCCGTGCAGTCCTATGTCTAAGGTTGTACTCATACATCAGAGAGCTATTCGTAGCACATTATAACAACCAATTGTAGCCCACTACTACCTCCTATTGTAGGTAAACTTGTGACACTAGAGCCAAGTTTGAACTGCGTAGGTGTCATACTAGCAGGATAATGTAACAGATTTTGATGCCATGGTGTCACAATTAATTTCCAGTTTCCACTGCCTTTTATATCTCGCCTTGCTATCTTCATGGTCCCATGGCCCATCTAGTAGCGTAACACTGACTTTGAGCATAAGCAATCCATACCTCACACACTATTGTGGCTCCTTGCTAATCTTCCCTCAGCTCGACAGTGATAGCTGCTCCTCTCCAGCACATATTCCATTCTGGCTCCTGATCATGTTATGGTGTTTATTCTACGCGGCCACTAAGGACAATACCCCCTGAACCAGAACAAAGACAGCGTTATCTACGGGAAGAAAGCCCATGGCGTGGTATCTACACTAAATGATGTAAATGGAGGGCCGAATTCTTTCGGGGATTGAGTCATCCTGGCCGCCATGCCACCACGACCACGGCGAACACCACGACACCACCAGCCCTGCGACCTTTATCGCGCTGTCATTAAACCTTGACGGCAGAGCTACGATCGTGTTTGCCTAGACCGGAAGAGCTATCAAAGCCAGCGTATGATCGCGGGCAAGTTTAGTGCCTATAAAGCCGTGGAAGATAGCCCACGTCCAGCAGCAGTCATCCCCCACGACATCTTTCATGTTGGAATAGGCGAATATACTAACTGGCACAATGAAAATCCAAGGAATACCGACGGCGAAACAGCAGCCTTATCTGAGGCACGAATAACAGGCAGCTCGGAATATCGAGGAGGCCGTGACGAAACAATTACCCAGTCCGTCTATGTTGAAGAGGTCTTATGTGTAAGACACTACTATGAATCAAGTTAGATTTCAGATGACTATGGACACGACTTATATTATTGACGAATTGGGTATGCCGTAAGGCGCTGTTTCACGAAACAAGAAACGAGGACCGTCTAAAATAATAAAGACGCTGCTTCCGGTGATCAGGAGCCAACTCACTAATAGCTCATTAGATGGTGAAGAACAGACTTACAGTGGCGACATAAAATAGTTACCCATGGAGCCCGCCCAAAGTCAAAGACTTAAGCTTCTGCAGCAGATTATGACCACTGCGCGCATCATACACAGCAGTCACGAGTCTGATTACTAGCGTACAAGTACGCTAAGCATTTGAATCGCCCGTTCCAAGCAGCCCTCGCTTGAGAGCTACCGGTAAGAGCCTGCGAATCTAGATACTATACCCGTGTCAGATGCGTACAAATACGTCCTCTCATGCTCTTTATTAAATATGCCTTGCCAGTTTTCTTAGCAGCTCACACATTATCTCAATGTTCCTGTAACATTCTAGCGCTATGGCCATGTCCCATCCTATATGTGATAAAAAAACACTACTATTATTTAGGTCTATTGAAACGAAATAAAAAAATTGACTTTTGTAGATTGTTATTGACCTCGCTGGGGGTCGAACCCAGAATCTCCTGATTACATTGTAATGTCCATTCAGTCATGGACCTTATCGTAGTCAGACGCCTTGCCATTGGGCCACGAGGCCCACGCTTGTTGCTGTCAAACGCAGAAAGAGTATATGACGATATACGTATTGCGCCTAGATCTAGGGATTGTAGCTATTTGCATCTGAGTGTTTATAACACTTTCGTCAAAGTATTCCATTAGCAGAATGATCATGTGCGATATTTTGGTTGATAGTTATACTGCTTCGCCACTAACCATTGGCATTCGAGCCGGACTCGATTGCGACAATAGAATATTGACATCTCGACTCCCGACCCGTCTGTCTAGAAGCTATTCGAGTCGTGTACAAATAGTTTAGTCGAAACTAAATTGTTGGCTGTAATTCGAGTTGGCCGCACGAGCTGGGGTTCCAAGAAGTCACAAGCATCATCATGCAGGTGCTCATTAGGACGACCTGTCCCAGGTTGTGTCAGGGGGGGTGTCCCGGAGTGAATAGGTAGGTCGCTACAGCTAGGTAAGGTGTATATTAGGGCTCAATAGTAAGATCAATTGATTCCTGAACCTCCCAGGATCTATATGGGGGCTCCAAGCCGCCTATATATATCCAGAACTGTAGATACAGCCACCCTAAAGGGTGCTGGCAGATATACACCTGACAGGTTGACTGATCAGAGCAATTATTTGGCAAAGACATTTCGCATTCTATTAAGTGGATAGCTTCGTATCTTCTGAGCAAAACCTCAGCTGTGAAGCCTGGTGCTCTATTCGTCCGACTTTATCACTGGTGCACTATCATGATCACGTATGTAAAAATCATGGAAACACCTATATAAGCAAGATCTCTACCCTAAAGCTCAGCTAGTGACGCCGTTAGTCACTATCAAAGTCCTTAAAACTTGCAGCAGGTCTATTTTCCGAGAAGAAATCTATGCGGCCGCTCAAAGCAACGTGACCGGGGCCATATATAGATAAAGGCAGTTCTGATAGAACTGAGTATTAAATTAATGATGTGAATATGTCTTGCTCTGTATGACTTCCAAAGGAGTAGTTACCGAGACTAACACATTATGACAGTGGTAGCGGCCTGTAAGATCCAGGAGAACGATTATACCTGTAGGAATACACGCTTCCCACACTTGCTATACTAGGAATTGCTTGTTGTCGCTCATCTAGCTACTTACCTGGAGGGTTGTAAGAGTTTGAGTATGAGCTATCCTCTCGTTAAACTCATTTATATTGAAATATCATTGTATAATAATCCGTTTAGCGTCTAAGAAGTGAACCACGAATTGTTCATGTATACACGTCTTCAGAATCTGAACCATTTGAAGATACAACAAGCTACTTGGCCTCAACGATGCCGCCGCCATTAAGCAGCCCTTTGCTTACAGAATTCGGCGGGAGAGCTTTTTCCCCTTTTGGGTGTGTTTTTTGATGCACCAGCAGGGAGGCGGTCGAGAAATACCATACGTTAAGACGAATTTCAGTGCTTTTAAAGTATCTACAGGCTGTTCTTAATTACTCCCTCGCGTAGTAGTAAGGTTTGGGCTCAAGTACGCTGTGCCAAGTGTAGATATATGATAGTAACACGAACTCTGCGCCTTGGATACCAAAGCGAGATCTAGGATGTGTCACCACAATAATCTTGTTACGCGAATACATAAAGCGAAGTGCCCAGTCCATCACCGTCAAACCAGCTTCAGAGCGGAACGCGTAATAACTACGTACTCCCAGCGCTTCATCCCGCCTAACTCCACCAACTTTCGATAGCGGATATCAAATCGCAGAGGCCCCAAACAGCCACAAATGCACCACCATCGTGATCAGCACAATCAACTTCACACATCTACGTCGGAAAAAAATTAGGGGTATTCTCAGAATGACCTTGTTGTCTTCAGCGCAAGTTTGCAATCAACTCGCTTGGAACACCCAATCTTTACATCACTGAACACCCAACAACTAGACCACTTGGCCTTGTTGGAAAACAGCAGGGCTAAAGTTCATTATAAGGCCCCCGTCAGTTGCGTGAGAGACGCCGGGGAATATCTGGATGTTGCTAGTGAGTCTGTGGAGTTGTAGTGTTGCTGATGAAGCGGTGGAGTTGATCCTGGTGATGAACTCGGCTGGGTGATGAGTACGTCTGACGCTCTAGGCGAGGTGGACTCGTTACCTTGGTCGTTGTGGGTTTGATATTGACGCGTAGAGTTTGAAGAACGAATGTCGTAAACACGTAGGGAGCCAAGTAAAGGTTGAGGTTATGGTGAAATGGGAGTGTATGCGTAATAGGATTCTAGGGACTCAATTGGCGGACGCATAACCCTTGACATTCCCAATACATTTCGTAACCTAGGTACTTAACAGGCCTTGAAGCTTAATCAAGAACGGTGCCCTTCATAATGCAACTTGTATAATCGCAAGCCAAGGGACAGTCACAAAGTGTGGTATATGGGTGGAGGCTGAGTGCGTGGTGCCCATGCGCCTAGGATAAGTATCTAAGTAGGTAGCCTTGGGCAACCACCTTGCGATATATATAGACGGGACAAACTGTTCTTGAACTATTCATGGGATAACGTAGCAGGAGGATTACGCATGAAGATTGACGAACTAGATTTTTCTTTGGTTTTTTGGCAGCGACCAATTTTCGCCCCTACCTTGGTTATGCTAAACGTGAATACCCGTCAAGAACGAAGTTTGTAAGGATGCATTCATCCTTGCCTTTGGTCATATATAGATTAACCTGGCTGCTGAACTATTAGAGGAACAAGGCCACGCAGTAAATAGAAGGACAATCACAGCGAGGCAAGCTGGGAGTAGGATAGGCTCAATAGATTAGTTCCTGATCCTGAACCTCCCATGCCTAATAGGAGGCTCCTTGCCACCTGTGTATAGACATAGTAGCGATATGAGCATCCGACAAAGGTGACTGTTGTATTGCAGCCTGTGGGTTGTCTAGCCCTCGACCAGTCCATCCAAGAAATCGACCTCCGTGTTAGTTTACTCTTCTTCTTCACTCTTTCGTGATCTTCAAGTCTTGCCTAAACCTTCACCGTTTCCGTTTCTTTATTATAAGTGAAATGTAGCACGACCCCAAGCATACGTGTGGCATCTTGTATGTAAGACTCGGTACCGCAGATGTTCGCATGCCTCAACTAAACACTTTACTGGTAGTGGATAACAGCGAATAGATACCATCTCAAAGTCCGCATGCGCGGGCACAAGTAGCCGAACAATCAGAATAGATACATACTTACCACATGTGCTATGGCTCATCTCTTTTTTTTTTTTTTGGAAAAGGCTACCACAGACGTTTCCTCTGAGCTCACCATTCTTCCACATCATGCCCCCAAGCACATTGCGGTGCGATTTGAGGAACCCCATTCTGCTTCGTTCCTGTATCTAATTATTTTAAGCATTGTACTCGTGGGTGCTCCGAAGCAGCCGGCCATACGAGGACCCACAGCAGAGGTTTGTCAATTCCGGATAGGACAGAAATGTACATCTCAGCGGGGATAGCTCAGTTGGGAGAGCGTCAGACTGAAGCGAAACTTCATCATTAATCTGAAGGTCGTGTGTTCAATCCACACTCACCGCACTGTTTTCCTTTTTAATCCTTATCCCCTAGCTATATAGAAGAGAGACATTAGGGAGCAGCTAAACACTCTTTACACGATTTTCAAATCCTATTAATCATATCTATCATATTCTTTTAGTAGTCCAAGGATGGCTGGGGCCGCAACCTACATACATGTAGGACTTCGGATACGAACGATACAATAAGAACCCCGGCATAATATTTCCTCATAGTGGCAGGGATTTTCATTGTATTTGCTGGTTGGTGTACGTTTACACAGACTTGCAGCCAACTTTAGGGGATATTATTTCGCTACAGTAATGCGAGGAAGGTATTTATTTATTATATATATCTTGTGTGTCTTATAAGTGAATGGAGATCAAGCAGCATCTAACGTAATCATACAGAAATCAGTGAACTAATTCCATATATCCAAACTCATTCCCTATGAGAAGCAACCCTTTTTATACGCCGTTGCCTACTGCCTTCTCAGCAGCTTTCCGAATAACATCAGCCACTTCCTCCGGGGCGCTGGAGAAGGCAAAGTGATCACCGTCAACTTCAACAATGTCCTTAAACATATGTCCCTCAGGCGCCGCGGCGATCATGTTTGGCATGAGGTCTTTCTTGGCACGAGCATAGGTACTAGGAATGTGCCGCCAGCCGTCGTAAGTCGTCGGCTCCGTGAAGCACTTCCACGCGTGGCTGCGGATGGATGCGCCGACGAGCATCAGCTGCTCCTTAGTGCACCCAGCGAGCCAGAGCTCGTTGTCCGGCGCATTGGGGTCGCGCCAACAGAGCTCGCCGTCTACGATGAACTGGTTTTCGATGGGTGGCTTGTCTTCCGGCCATACTTTATTGCCGATATCCATTATAATCGCGGCCACGTATACGAGGTGGATGACGGCGCCGGTGTCGGGACCACGCGAGGCGCGATCTAAGCCCTTGACGGCTTCGCTGGTGACGACGCCGCCGTAGCTGTGACATACGACTATGACATCATGTCCTTCATCGAGTTGCGGGATGACAACGTCTCGGACGGCCTGGGCGTCTGTTTGTAGACCCTGGATGATGGGAGGTGCGTCTTTGGGCCTAAGTTCTGGGCCGACGCTGGGCAGGGAGACTGTCAAACAGGTGTAGCCGGCTTTGGTGAGAATATCGGTTGTAAGCTGGAAGTATTCCGGTGCGCACCATGCACCAGGGCAGAATACAAGAACTGGTTTCTGTCCGGGCATTGTGAGAAAGTGGAGTTGAGTCGCCTATTGTCCTGATGTAGCTGGCGCCAATGGGAGAAAGGTGAACTAATTAAGAGGGTCAAGAAAGATAGACAGGATGATGAGAGATAGAGACAGAGGAAAGGACAGAATAAGACAGCAACTGCAGTCTTTATAACCCTTCCTGGAATCAAAATCTGGAATGCTCTCAAATATGACAATAATAGACTTGACCAACTATAGGACTAAGGGGTATTAGCTTTTAAGTTCTTGCATTCTGATTGGCCAATTCTA